ACTGAATACCCTGAACCTTCAGCAGCTGCTGAAAGGATGGTAGTGGGCTTCAGAGGAGCAATCAAGCCTCTTAATGCACCGGATCCAATTCCCCAGTGCTGGCCAGGGACTCCTCCAGTGAGTTGTGTGCTGCAATTCTTGTATGTAAATTTAGTCCTGGGGCCCTGCTTAGCAATAGGCCAGCAACTGGTATTCAGGATTATATTATCCCTCCACACACACATTCCATAATGTTTACGGGATGATTCACCTAAAACATGGCTATTTCTGCATAAACAAGCCCTCACAGATAGATAAATCTACTTGCAAACAGGGTGTGCAGAGAGCACACACCTTGTTTGAATGGGAAAATACCCTTTTTTCCCTTCCAACACCACCGATTTTTCAGAGGTAAATTCATTGCTGGCAGCACAGTAGGGACTCTCACAGGATTTGGGGACAGATTCCCACCAGGTATGAGGAAGTTGTCTGTATCTGGTATATGCCAAAGTTTAACTGTTAATTCAAAAGAAATAAAAACTCTGGCTCTGAAATGTAATTGGATTTGAATTTCTCTAAACTTTCCTTTCTCCTCTCCTCCCTTAACACTAAGTGTACCTTACAGAAAGGAAACTCATCCTTTGCCTTGTATTTTTATAGTGTCACGAGCAAGTGCTTGAAAGCTTGCTTCTCTTTTCAGACACTTTTCGTATCTGTCAAATTATCTCATCTTCTTGACACATTTCTCAAGTATGTTCACTAACCTCAAAAACCCAAGTGAACCTGTAAACCCTTTGTTTAACAGACAATGATGCTGGTTTGAGTTCTCATCAAAGAGATGAGAAAACCTAAATGATAAACCTCAGGAAATGGCTTTCCACGTCACTCCTACCTTGCTCATATCTGATGAGTATGTGGTGAAAATGACCATATTGAAACGAAATAAAAGGACAGCTAAAAAAACAAGTAGGAGCAAATAGCACTTGTGGTGGATACTTTGCTGATAAAAGGCAATGACTCAGAGCCCACTATTTCTTTAGGGGAAGAAAATACTGTACAGTTGCTGTGGCTTTGTTGGGTTAGAAGAAATGAATGTGTGGAATACCTGTCTACAACATGGTCCCTTCCAGATATGCTGGACTATAATTTGTATCAGAGCCTGGAAAGGTCATTAAACTACAATTCCCAGAATCTCCAAACCAGCATGGACACTGGGAATTTTCCAAGCACTGCTCCCATCATCAGGATCAGGATCAAACAAAATGGCCAGTTACAGTGTCATCTCTTTTTTTGTTCTGTTTTTTTGGTTTTTTGGGGTTTTTTGGTGGATCTGATGTGGGACAAAGGAATGTTTCTCAAACCTGGGGCCCATGATCACCCACATCTGATCATGATCTCTGGGTTTCAGCCCAATAACATCTGGCTTTGGGCCTGATTCTTCCAAGGCTGGGAATGTCTGGCCCAAAAGCCAATCCTTTAAGCAGTTGTTCTTACCACCAGATGAAATGCCTTTGTGTTTGTGTGTGTATGTGTACCAGTAACATTAACTGGACCCATGTGACATACCTTTCCATTGGCACTTGGGTCTTTCACAAATTGTGATGCTACCTTTTTCAGAAGTGTCATGCTTTTTTGCTTCAGCTATTAGCATCTGGTGGAGATGTTTCTATAAGAAAGTGGACACGGAATTATCGTTGAGAAAGAAATACATCAGAAAACTGAACCCATCTTTTCTGTGCACCTAGGGGAGAAATTCGCTAGCTAGATAAGCTCAGTGGTTTAGGTTTCTAGTTGCAAAGCCAGAGGCTGGGAGTCTGATTCCCCACTGTACCTCCAATGTGTAGAGCCAGCCTTTGTGGCCTTGAGCAAGCTGCAGAGTTCCAGGACGCCACTAGAAGAAGGGAATGGGACACTGCTTCTGGATATTCTCTACCTAGAAAACCCTGAAAAGGGTTGCCATAAGTCAGAATGGACTTGATTGCAGATGATGATGATGATGATGATGATGATGATGATGATGATGATGATGATGATGATGATGATACGGGAGAAATAGCTCTGTAGTTGAGTACATTGTTTGCATACAAAAGATCCGAGGTTCAATCTCTAGCATTTCCGTAAGTAAACCAATAATCTTATGTTGGTAGCCCTACACTACAGTGGTGGGCAATTTGTGGTTCTCCAGATATTGTTGGACTGCAACTCCCATAAGCCCTATACATTATAATCAAAGGTAAGATGTATGGGAGTTGAAGTCCACATTATTTCGAGAGACATAAGCTGCTCAGCCTTCTACTGTTACAACAATGTGCTGATTCATGGCTGATCACCCAGAAACCATATTCCAGTGAAAGAAAGAAAGAAAGAAAGAAAGAAAGAAAGAAAGAAAGAAAGAAAGAAAGAAAGAAAGAAAGAAAGAAAGAAAGAAAGAAAGAAAGAAAGAAAGAAAGAAATCAGCTCCCTGTTCAGCTTGCTACTGAAGAGGGATGAGTGACACTATCATACACAAGACGGGCTATTGTTGTATATGATAGTAACATAAAACCCATGCAACAAGAGGTACTTCTTCAAAGATACACTTTAGTCTCACAGAATGTTTTCTAACTGGTCCTTTTTGCAGAAGCAACCAGAATTCGCTCTGCAGCTTTCTCAGAGATTTGATTGAGAATCCATTATTAGGGAAATGATTTGAGAACATGTTCAATACCGCCATGCTGGCTAGAAAGCTCAGTAGTTTAGGTATCTGTCTGCAGAGCCACCGGCTGGGCGTTCAATTCTCCACTGTCCCTACAGTGAGAGGAGCCAGCCTATGTGGCCTTGAGCAAGCGACACAGTCCCAGGGCACTTCCAGAAGAAGGGAATGGTAAACCACTTCTGAGTATTCTCTTCCTGGAAAACCCTGCAAAGGGTCACCATAAGTCAAAATCAACTTGACAGCACACAATTATTATCATTGTTAATACTGCCAGGAGTATTTTGTTACATACCTGTTTCTTTCTTTGGCTGCTTCCATGCAAATCAGTGGTATTAGTAAACGCTACGGGTTCACTGACAGCAGTTTCAAGAAATATCTTGGAAGACACTGAAAGACGAAAGACACTGAAAGGTAGTTATTTACATATACTCTGTAACTGTTTCTACACGCACACCCACACAGAGTAAATTTTAGCCAGCTCTTTTTCCCCACGTGGTGGCACTGTTAGAAGCCAAAACAAGACGAAAGACACTGAAAGGTAGTTATTTACATATAATCTGTAACTGTTTCTACACGCACACCCACACAGAATAAATTTTAGCCAGCTCTTTTTTCCCCAAGTATTGATCTTTTAGAAGCCAAAACAGGCTTATTCACATATAAGAGAGCGGTACTGGCAAAAGTCTGGGCTACTCAGAGGCTTTCTGAAGGATCAAAACAGGCTTATTCACATATAAGAGAGTGGTACTGGCAAAAGTCTGGGCTGCTCAGAGGCTTTCTGAAGGATGAAGAGAACTCTAATAACCAAGAAAAGGCTCAGCAGCTACACAAGGCTGACTCTCTGTTGAGAGGGGCACAGAAAATGTAGGGAAAGGGCAAATGGGATGGAACATCCTGGGCACGGGCATGGCAAGCTGGCTGGGTCTCCGACCATTTTGTGGCAGGTCCTGTTCCTGCGCACTAAGCATAAAATCTTCATCACAGTTGTAAATATATTACTTCGCAAGTTACAGCCTTTGGATTTTAAACCCCTTGGCTTTCAGTCTAAACTGAACTACAGCTTAACATTCTGCTCTTAAACGCAATGCTATGATCCTATTGCTGAGACTTTCAAGTACCACAGGAAAGTGCTCAAACATAGATCCTAGCATTTTAATGAGCACCAGAACATTAACATATAACAAGCTTTCCTGGTGCAAATCAATAAGCAAAGCCCTTCTAATACTTTGTTACACATGTTTATGCCAAGTTACAAGACACAGGTGGAAGGATAGGAAGGAAAATGCTAGGCAAGTGGTAAAGAACTTGGTTTATTAAGTCCAAAAACTGACTCAACTTGAATTACTTTTATCCTACATAAACAGGACCCGCTTAAGAGAGTTTGCTGCCTGAGACAAAACACAGGATGCTTCCCCATTCGAGGTAAAGGTAAAGGTTCCCTTGACAATATTTGTTCAATCGTGTTCGACTCTAGGGGGCAGTGCTCATCCCCGTTTCCAAGCCATAGAGCCAGCGTTTTGTCTGAAGACAATCTTCCATGGTAATATGGCCAGTGCGGCTCAGACACGGAACGCTGTTACCTTCCCACTGAGGTGGTCCCTATTTGCATTTGCATGCTTTCGAACCACTAGGTTGGCGGGAGCTGAGA